CTAAATAAAATGTTTTTAATTGTGTACCAGTTTAACGTTGAATATTATTTACGATTTTAAAAGAAGTGGTATCAAAATGGCGGGTAAATCGCATTAAAATGATCAAGTTTTTGGAGGAAGAGGTCTCAGAGTACCTGACCCTCCTAGGTCACACGACCTAAATTCCGATCAGGAGATCAGGCAGGCAGGTGGACCTGTCTCCATCTTATTCTAAAGTTGATCATTTTCGAGTTGAAAGGGTAAACTAAAAATTAAGTTAAATTGAAAATTAAAAGGGTAAATGAAGAACAGTCCATTATTACACATTAATACAATTATGTTATAAATGTGTAATTTTAGACCTTAAGCTCCACATCGTAAAAACTGATGAACCAATCTGTTTAGTTATGTACCCCTGTTTAGAAAAGTTAGTACATCTTGAAGAAAACGAGTCCCCCGGTAAGCTTACAAATTTACAGCACAATAATCCGGGGTTTGACTCTCCGCGGTAGACACAACATATAGCCCAATGTGGCTTTGGGCTAACTTAAATAAAAGAAAAGACACATTGAAATGTCTGGCATGGCCAGGTGATTAGGGAGCGCGACTCGCAATCTACGGGTCGCGGGTTCAAATCCCCATCCCACCACATATATTCGCCCTTTCAATATTTCCACTATTCGTTGTTAAAAGAGTAGCCCAAGAGTTGCCGATGACTAACTGCTTTCCCTCTAGTCTCACACGACTAAATTAGGGACGGCTAGCGCAGATATCCCTCGTGTAGCTTTGCACGAAATTCAAAAACAAGCAAATTGAAATATTAATCAATATACATAACAAATATTATGTACCCAAAACATTAGTTTTAGTATCAAAATAGTAAGATCAGTAATAAGTTTTTGCTAAAATTACATTTTTAGACGTTATACATCTAGTACGATAATGCTATAGTTTCTTTATCAACATATATTAGAAATACATAATAATCTACCACTTTAACAATTTATTGATTTGTTCGGTAATATACGTTATTTGAAAGTTTCCATTTATATGTAAAACTAAATTGTGGAATATTTATTATATATATATATAATTTCTTAGCAAAATATATAATATTCATTCCATATTAAGGATTGGAAATGACGTATAAAACGTATCTGAATATATCTCACTCTGCAAGCAGTTTTCTCGGGAATAGCGAAGCTACAAATATGTAAATTAAATTATTATCCTATTAACAGAGTAACGTATAACTATTGGGTTAAAAGTATGAAGTTATACTGAGATATATTTAAAAAATAAACTATAATTATTTAATTAAGTTACACACCTAAACTAAGCATTTTTTTTTAAATAACTTATCCATATCAGTGTTTTACCTCAAGTTTGTTTGAATAATTTTCTGTTAGTTTTTCATTAATCAAACTGAGTTCTTCATTTTTCTCAAGGAGAGCCTTCCCTAACTGAGCAGCCAAAATTAAATCTTGTTCTTTCTGAGTCAGTTGTGCATGAACGTCATCGCTCTCACTGCTGTTTTGAGCCCTATTTTCCATTTCTTTTATATATTCCTCCAGGTCGTCATAGAGCGTTTGATAATTTGGTGGCGTCTCCTGCATTTCTTCCAAGCGACGGGCATACATTGTTGTTCCCAAACAAACATAACTTAAAATATCCAGGCAGCGTTGACGATAACAAGCATAATTTTAAAAATCGGGAATTTAATTGTTTCTGTCTATTTGCCGATTTTTAGGCAAATGAAACTAAAAACAAAATGACTGGCACGAGCACCTCTGTCCGAATATGAACGGTTTGCGTTGAGTACCTGAGTGTCCCTAAACAATACCTTTTTACTATCTCGACGCGTTACTAATTAACGTGCATTTCGATTTTTTAATTGCTGAAAAAAAAAGTTCCAACTATACTTTTAACTTTTTAACGGTGAAAGGATTATAACTTATAAAGATGTTCAATTAACAATAAACAAAAGTTTTCTGTCGTTAATCAACTTCCTCTGTTAATCTCGTGTAACCTATACCACTTCGAAGCTCGCTCTGGGAGCTTTACCTGTGGAACCATGAACATATGTTACCTGTTTAAAGTGGTTCGGCAGGGATACTAGTAACCAAACGTTCTGTCGTTCATCTGTGTATTTCTCTTGCATGTTAAGGGTGTTTTCTTAAAGCTATCGGTGACTTGAGTTTTATCTATTTACTTGTTTAATTTTGGTATTATTATAATCATTTAGTATATAATAAAGTATATAATAAATTATATAGTATATAATAAGCCTATATAATTTGAAACCCACGTGCTTGTTTTTTTGTTTCAAAATACCATGTAGCCCTCTATACAACTTCGTTTAAACTATACTTTTAACCAACCGTGCTTTAATTTTTATCGTCTACTTTTATACTTATGTTAAACCTATTGCCAATCATTAAGACTTTTTAAAATATATATATATATTGTGGTAACGTTATCTTATTTAATCCTTTTATTTTTTGGAAATACTAAAAAATGCCTTTTTTAAATACTTCCCGCTTTAAAAAATTATTTTCACTATAGTGAAATGTTACGAACTTGAATATCAAAAGGCACGCATCCCATTTAAGCTTAAACTTGTTTTGATAAATGTTTTAAAAAGTATGTGGAGAATGACCAAAAATGTATACTTTTTAAGACTGTTTTTATTCAATTATTTAATCATATATGTCATTGAAAGGTTGTTGAAGATTATATAATTAATCAATATTTCGCGTAAATTTACTGCTAACTTACGAAAACACTCGAGATGTTGTATACCTGTGAACATCCTAAACGTTGGGATTCATATTTTCAACATATCTTTCCGCTAAAGTGGGTTTCAGTAGAACCAACAGACATTGCTTCGCATGATGTACAAATAGAGAGAAATACTAGGTTCGATTCTTCGCAGTGGACAATGTGCAGATAGCTAATTGTGTACTTTTGCAATAAGAAAATAACAATGGAGTAATGATTCACTACAAGTAAACAAAGCACTTGTCTTCTGGCAAGTGTATATTTATTATTTGTTTCTTAGAGTAAAATGAATTAAAAGAACTAGTTGGTTTCTGTATCAAACTTTTAATTAATTATAAGAAAATTGAGTTGTTTTTTAATACTGTTATCATTAACGCTTTCTAAATATTTTTTTGTATGCATCTGTATAAAAATTGTATTTGAGTTACTTTTTGTTGTTGTTGTGAAATAGCGTTGCTATTCATATATATATATACAAAACAATTAAAAAACAGAGTGATTAAATTATTGGTAACTATTTAATAATTTTGATATACTAAAAAGACCTTCTTTACCGTTAAAACTTGCGTACTTGAGAATGATAGCACCAGCGATCGAAACGTCGTACCTGTTCTCAAAACAAATATTCCTTGCTGTAAAACTGTAACTTGTAATAAAATAATATTTATATATTGTTTAAGCGAAATGGTGCACACAATTAAATTGTATGTTTTCGAACAATAAATACACTTTGTTAATTTGTACATTTTCAGAAGCTTGATTTTAAAATCCCTAAAATAAAAAGAAAATTGTATTTGAAATGTGGTTATCAAAACTCCAAAAGTCCCTTTCAGACCATAAAAATTCTCAAAATAACCAAAACTTTTAAAACCAAAATTATAATGGTGAGATTCTTCAATTTTTTCATTATTTAAAAAAAAATGAATAGTGTGTTAAAAAGTTCGTATTAAATAAAACCTTCCGATAATTTCTTACAATCAACCAAATCATCCATTTTTACCAGTTATCGTCATAGGTATGTTTCAAATTTATACAGTTCATCATTTTAATAACAGAAGCGGGGAGAACAAATTTAAGGCATAACGGCAGTAAGAAATACACTAGTGAGTGATAGTTTCTGCATTTCATTAAAAGTTTTCCTGCCCAATTGAACTTCAAATTTGTTGATTTAGACTTTTATGATAATTCTTTTAATTGAAGTAAATGTTTATTACATGGCTTCCATTCCATTCATTAAGCTCTTGTATGGTAGTGTTTAAAAAAGAAAATAAGGCCAAAAAGAAAACATGTTCTGCTTAAAGAAATGTAATTGAGAAATTACAGGTTTAAGACTTGTATTTATTTAAACTGAAAGCAAATTAGTTTGTAATATTTTAAAACATTTTGAAGGTATGAAACTTATGTTTTATTGTAATATATAATGTATTCAAAGTGCAACAATTAGAGACTAATTTTTCCAAATGTTAAAATATTTAGATTTAATTTTAACCAAAATTTTAACTTTGTTTCGAGTGTTCAAGTAGGATTCTGAAACGTTTTATGGAGTTTTCAAATAAATAGTAAAAAACTATCAATTTTTATTTTATACTTTTGTCAGAGCTTATGAATATAACCATGGTAAGTGCCCGTATTGTCTCTATTAAAGAACAGATAAAGATACTGGAAGACGGTGGATATTATGATGTAGTAATGCAGTTTTCATGAATCCTTTATTGACAGGTTCAGTTCACTAATCAGTTTATTAAGACTTTTCATACAGTTCACAGTCACAACTTACCTAAATGTTATTTCAAAAAATCACCGATAATATATAAAATGACAAACTGGAATTAAATTAATTTAATATTTGCATTTCATAAAATTTATTTTTAAAAAATCTAAAATCCTTTCATACAAAATTGCTTTTCTGACTTATACATGTGACTTGCATACACAACTTTCCAGAAAATACAGTAAATGCAAAACCACTCCATATACAAGTAAACAATTGAGAATAAACTTAAAACTTCTGCTGTTTTATCCTACTGTCCCATTGCAAAATTTGAAAGTAGCAAAGTTTATGTTGTACAAATTTATGTGGTTCTTTCTTGTGCTCACTTTTTTTATTCTTGACTATAGCAAAATTCTGCGCTAATGCAGAATCAGTTATTCGCATAAGGAAACATATTATTACATAAGTAAAATAAACAGAAAAGACAAAAAACATCCAATTACACTTTGGCATCTTAAAATCTACGACTCAATATACATTTCTAATGATATAAAGTTTTTGTTTTTGCATAAATATTACAAATGAAATTGAAACTTTGACAAAGTCGATTTACACAAAAGTTTATAAAATGCTGCATTGTAGAACATATATATATATATTAATTTAGGCCTTTTGTTAAGAGGAATGAAGATAAAACTGTTGAATAAGTTTTCTAAGTACACTCTTATTTTAACTGGTAATAACATAAAACAACTTTTAATCTTATTACTGTTAACCCTACAATTCAATATTACTTAAAGAAAGTTATCCTATATTCACAAAAATTAGAAAAAAAAACTGACATGTAAAGTTAAAAGCAAAAGAACACAAAGTCAATAAATGCCAAGACAATCTTTGATAACTAAATAATAATAATAACTATCACTTAAATATCATAAATATAAAATCAACAGTAAATTATTCATAAATGATTTCAATTGAATATTTGTTAGTAATTCTTCATTTTTTTTATTTACCTATTCGTTTTTAATGTATTCTCTCACAGGTTAAAATAAATTCGAAACACCCCACTTATCATGTATTGTAATATTGCTAGAAGTTTATAGAAATGCTAAAGCTAATACACAACGGCTAAAATGCCTCATAACTGATAGTTATGTTGTACATAAATATTTTGGAATGTTATACTGAGTGTGTGGAAAATTAAAGACAAAGAATGTTACAAGTCTACAAAAACACTTGAAAAATTAAGCCTAACTATACGAAACCAGAGCACTTTCAAAAGGTAGACTTTCCTTCTTAAAGGGAGTTGGGATAAAAAAGAAAATATATTATTCACCCACCCACCCCTATATTAATAGGTTTGTAGCATTGTGATTTTTTTAGATGTTTTCTAAACATCTTAATTGAAAAATTATAGTACATCAAATCTGTATTTAAAATCTTGATTATCCTCTTTAACCTGACAGTAAAGGGCAAATCATACAAGTGACCTCTGGTGACAAGGAAATATATTAAACTTATCTGAGAATTTTTTGTTGTTCTACAAATAGTTTACTCACCTTTTGTTCTTATAAATTTTTAGAATAGAATAACAGGTTTTTTTTTTTCAAATACAAACTTTTAACTCGTAGCTCCATCTCTTGACCAATTTTAGATTTAATTACAGCCACAGCTGTTGAGGATCCCTCGTTTACTTTAATATTCATTTTACACACAGCCTGTGAAAGTACAGTATGCAGACAGAAAGTTTCATGAAAATGAAATTAAAAAATTATCATAAAACAGAACTCTTAAAACACTAATTTATGGCTAATTAGATTAGTGATACTACAAAATCATGCACATTTGCAAGTACAGTCTACGCATACCTAGATAAAATATACTAGACTGTTAGTCATGTGTGCTTACTAGTTCAAAAAAAATGAACAATATGGTTTAGTTTTAAAAGATATTTATTAAATCGTGGAATGTAATATAAATATATAAGCCTTCCATGTTGTTTATATCTTTGTCCTTTACTCATTATTTTAATGACCTATCAAATAAGCCACTACTGCTTTTTGTAGTAACTTCAGGCCCCACACTTGAAAATGAGGGAGTTACTACTGCTTTTTTTTGTAGTAACTTCAGGCCCCACACTTGAAAATGAGAGAGTTACACACCTTTCTTTAACTAAAAGGCACATTATGCACTTTTCCTCAATCAAACCTTAGTGATTCAATCATAACATTAAAAACAATAATAAAATAATTAAGTCATAACAAATATATATCAATGAGAATGAATAAGTTACAGAAAAAAAAAATATATATATACTTTGTTAAATCTTAAGTTTCATCAATTTTCAGTTACTAGGACACCATATTTAACATGGAAGTCAATTTTTTTCAGTATTATATTATTATTACAACATTTGCAGGTCTTATCTAATTTTTACACTGACCATCAAGCAAACTATAATATTTTTCTCTATACTGCTACTGACGTAGAGCTAAAATTAAATATAAAAATACACAAAAATAACATTTCTTTTAGGGTAACATTTTAAATCAAATAATAAGTACAACCCGAATTCTTCTAGCCTTTGGTTCACTGCCCGTTTAAATCAAGACGTTATAAATGCATCTCTCACTTAAAAGAAAAGGCTTCTATTTCAACAACATTGCAAACAATGGTTAATGAATAGAATTTACTATTTACTGAAATATTCCTGAACAGGAATAATTCTCAAATAACAATTTCCAAACAAAGGCCTGCAAAAAGCAGATTCTCCTTGTAAGGAATAAAAAAAAACAAAGTGCTTATTTTCCAGTTAAATTCTTCAACATATTTCATGAGGCGCTAATTTAACTTTAACGTATAAAAATTAAAAGGTTTCAAGGTCTAGAAAAATAAGAAAAACATTAGTATTCATTTAAAAATACTGGTATTCATACCGTTTCATGCATACAAGAACAACTGATTATATTTCATTGCACTAGTGCACATGAATCGAACACTGTTTGCGAGCTATACATGAACTACAATAAGCTGGAATGGAAATGAAGTTTTTCAACTACACATTGTACTACATATCAAACTTTATGCATTTTAAGCACTTAGGGTAGTGAGAGTTGTTAAAAACTATCCTGCTATTAAAGGCTAGTAGATTAGCTCTTTTGCTTAGTTGAAAGAAAACACTTGCATGGTATATAAAAAAAAAAAAGAGTTCCATATCGAGCCAGGGAAATTACCACAAAAGAAAACTTCCAGCAAACATGGGACCTCGTATGTGATAGTCAAATTGTGTTAGTATTCCGAGTAAATACCTTATTAAAAACTGCTATTAGATTAATCACTTAGCTCAGTTGCCTCAGAACTTGTCTCGGGCTTCATCCTGAGCTGACGAAATACCACACACACACAAACACTTTCATGCTGATTAAAATGTTACTTGTATCACACTTGCTACACTTTTGTGAGAAGATAGCTCAATGCTCTATGAGATTTAGTTCAACCAATGCTTAATCATACACCTTTCAAACAATAACAATAATGTACAAGGTATAAAAAAAAAGGGTTATATCGTGTTATAAACAACCTGTATTGAGCATTCTACATATTTATGTTACTAATGATCACAATAATTAAGTAAAAACATCCTAAAAATATTCAGATATCGAAAATTTATCTTAATTTTAATTACCTCTCATAAAACGCACAAAGATTAAGCCTAATTGTTATTTCTTCCTTTGAAATACTGTAACAAAACAGTAATCTTGGCATTAATAAGATGATTAGGTAGACTTCTCGTTTCCTAACAATCAATAATCAGATTTACAGTTGAATATTTTGGATTATCTTAACAAGTTGATTTTATTAGGCCTTCTTTAAGTTTTATTCTCTCATAAAATTCATGGTTAATGTCCGTTCTCTATTGCTGATGCTGACAGGTTTATTTAGCTTTTGTCTTACTAGTCAACACCATGAATATAATTTTTTGTTCCCTTTATTTGCTTCACTTGGAAATGTTAGTCATTTTTTCCCATCATTAAAATATTTTACACAGTAAAATAACAAGATTTACTTAAATTATGCAACAAGAACAGGATAACTTTTGACTGATTATATTGACTGTTTTGAGAGTTTATATCTATAATTCTACACATTTAGAAATTGCTAAAGAAAAAGAAGCTCGTACAGTTATGGTTTTCCTAATACGGAAAATTAATTTTAGATTTAAATCAAATGTATAAAAATCTATATAAAAAGTTTCCTCATCGAAATTACGATACCAGCAGAGAAGCATGTGGAATATTTTCCCGCAATTAAAATCGTGAACATTTAGTTATTATGGTGCTTTTACATAATAAGTTTACTTGTTCTGGCATGATGAAAAAGGGGAAAATTACACGATAGCTGACTTCATTCTCAGGGAAAGGTTGTATAATAAGTAAACGTCATTTTACATAGGATTGTTATACAACAGGTATACCAACCACATTTTACATGGTAAGGTCACACACACAAGAAATATTATATCATTTTACACAAAAGGGTTACACAACACGTATATATTACTTTACATGGAAAGCTTAAAAACATCTTTACATAGAAACGTTCACAACAGATGTCCCTCATTTTAGATGGACAGTCAGAACAATAGCTTTACCTCATTGCACTGGGAAGGCTCACAAATACACACACATCAATTTAAACTGGGAAAATTCCACAAGATTTTTCTGAGCCTGATTCACATGAAAGAGTTAACTTATCAGCTAAGCACATAAACAGTAGAGTATAAATATATGTATATGTTCTGAAAAATAAGGAAGTTTCATCGGATTGATAACAATCATAAAGTACAAAGAACAACTTTATAAAACTTATAAAAAAATAACAACAAGTATAATGTAGTGGATTCTTACCTTCACCCTATCATCTTATTAAAAAGTACCATAAATCTGTTATGAACGTAAGAAAAAAAAACCTGAAAAGTTGGCACCTTTGATGATAGCAGTGATAGTAATGAAGTTAACACCCACATAGTGGGGGATGAATCACTTAATATATATAGAAAAATCTGTAAACAATTTAGTAACAAATGACATTTGCATCACACAATTGTACCCCCCCCCCCCAAAAAAAATCTTTGGACTAAAATTACCCATAAAGACACCGATATATAATTATTATACAATAATATATTACAGGCAGATCCCACGTGGTGCATTAACTCGTAGTTCCTGTTGTTTCTTACACTATTAGTTTCCCAGTCAAACAGGTACACATTTCCAACACAGTTATTTCTATTCTTAGAACCAGGCTATAAAAAACAAGCCAAGTTGACAATTCCTAGCATCTGTTGTATTTTTTTGTGACACAAAAGAGTAAGTTATTATAAGTACTCTCTCAAACAGGGTAACATGGGAAAAGTTACACCTCCTCATATGAAATATCTTCACCACGGTTGTTCAAAACTTGGGTATGTCCCGAGAATGCACGATGCGAGGATGCAACCGTTTTCTCCAGTTCCTTAATGCGGTGATCGTGTTCACTTACGGCAGACTTTAGTTTTTTTATTTCTTCCATTAATTCTTGAATCTTCTTGTCCTTGTAGAAAAAAAAAGAATAGCTTGATTTCTGAACAAAAATTTTCATTTCTTCTGACTCCATTTCATTAATTGAATAAAATAATCCTGATTTAAAGAAATACCTAAATTAGGCTTAACTCATGATTTCACCAAAATTACTACAAAAAAAAATTTTTTTTAGTAGTACAAAATTTATTGTGTGTCAATAATGTAATTACAAATATGACAGAAACCTTTACAATGTACCACTTACAGGTTTGTGGAAGGCTGGTTCTGGTTCATTATTTTTAGGTGCCATTTTGTTTAGAATGTTTGGTTTCTTTGAAATTTTCAACTCTTGTTTTTGGCAAGGTGCATATCCTTCCTTTAGTGAAATCTAGAAAGGCAAAAGGTGGGATCTTTAGTAGACAGTTTCTTCTTCATAAAACATTTCATTAAAGTAACAAAACTGCACTTAAAGTAGCTTCCAAAAAAAAAAGTTTGGGGATTGTGCAGCAGAATTTCATATAAAAGAATGTAAATAGTTTTTTTATTAATTTTGTTTATACAACATTTTTAATGGTTATTATTTCTAAAGTAACTGATTGTATAATAACATTTGTAATTAATTTATACAAATTATAAGAGACAATGAGTTTTCTACCATCATAAAAAACAGACTTGCTTTATAGTATCTATAAAAAACTTCCATTATGTTAACCAAAAAGAAGTGTATATATTAACAAAACCAATTATTATACCAGAACTGGGACAGCATCCTTTCCTTCAGCCCATTCCTCAGCAGAAATGGCTGCCACATCAGCCGCCGTTAGTGGATACAAGTCATCTTGAAACTGGTCAGACTGTGTGAAGGTAAACACTACTTTAACATGGGCATCATAGCAGGGATCCAAACAACCAGAGTTCTTGCACAAAATGTGAAGAACACAAAAGACTAAAATCAACCTTCACTATGCTCCTCCTTCCCAGGCTTATTACACACTACAAATGTCTACATTATCAATCCAGATGCTAAATAAATCATTATGAATATCTTATGCATGCAAATTTGCACAGTATAAACTGATCTCAAAAGTAGCAACAATAAGTTGAAATAATCGTGATGTTGGCCTCACTTTAAGCCATATAAAGTACCATCTGTTTTAGTATTTAATAAACATTTACTAACACACCTAATTTTAATGAGGTGTTGTTAAACACAAAGTTACACGATGGACTGTTTGTGCTCTAACCACTGTGAGCATCGAAACCCAATTTTTAGCGTTATTCACCCTCATATTTACTGCTCAGCCACCAAGAGGCCCCAATTTTGATGAGAGATGAAGAGTACTGAGCTGACGCACAATTAACACATCATAATCAATCAAAAAAAGTATTTTTGAAACGAATGTATACACACGTGTGTAAATTTTTTTTAAAGTTTTATTTTTCAATAGCCCAGTACTAAAAAATAAACTCAGTAACAACTTTAAACAAAGGCAATGTAATTGTTAAATTGAATGGCATTTCATGCACATGGGGGGGATAAATAGGCCATAGGAATTAGGTATAACCATCCCTAGGTTTGAACTAGGAGTCAACATTTTATAATCATTGGTGAAAGCGCAAACTGAGTTTAACAGAATCATACTTCAAACCCTTTGAGGTGTAATCCAGCATGCTAACGTGGCCACATCCACTCCAATATTATGTAGGTTAGGCTTACAACAGTCTCAATGTAGCTGCAAGGATGAGCAGAAATAGTAAATGTAAAGATAACATTAGCCCAATCAATTTAAAACTGGGTTGGTGCTAAAGTAGTCCTAGTAATTTGGAAGTTACGTTAAAGATTTTCTGGAAATACCGCATCCATCCCACCGTAATCGTTTACCATTAACAGAGGGTTATAACAGAGTTAACATTTCTAAAAGTTTTAATGCCATACAGTTTATTTAGTTATAAATCTATATGCCAGAAAAACTTGTCTGTTTCAATTTTTATGAAGAACATGAACAAAGATACACAGCAAATAGATATGGAAACATTCAGTGCTTATCTTTTCAGCTTCATTTTCTTGTTTGTTTGTTTGTTTGTTTTGG